ACACCGCAACCGGCCGACTCAGCGGCGTGAGAGTGGTGCGGTCCCTAAAGAAGGAGCGAGACGCTCCAGAGTCAAGGGTGAAGGTGTGAGAGGCCGAAGCCGACACAGTACCTGAGAGGGCAGACTCACCAGCACCTGAGAGCACAGACGCACTGGCACCTAGAGCAGCAGCCTCACTAGTACCTGACGCGGCAGTACCAATGCCCGGGTCGGGCGGGAAACACCGGTAACAGTCATCCTCATCACTACCAATCGCAGCATACATAGCAGAGAGAATAGCATCAAAATCAAGATCATAAATAGCTACACCAGCCCGAGACAGCTCTCCCCAGCGGGGGATCTCAGCTGCCTCCGGAAACTGCTGACGCCAGGCGTCAGTCAGGCGGCCAAAGCAGCGGCGGGCTGTGTGGGCGCCTCCACACCTCTCCCCTGCACGGTCACCGGTGCGAAGAACGTAGGGGCAAGGACCAAGCGCACCACCACGCTGACGCTGCGAGTACCACTCACGGAGCTGCTGAGGGGCGGGGACGGTGCGAGAGCGCTGCTGCTGCTGTGGTTGCTGCTCCGGCTGCTGCTGCTGCTGCTGCTGGCGCTGACCACCCCTAGAGCTGCTCCGCTGGGACGAGCCACTCCGACCCCCGCCTCCACCGCCACCCCCGCCTCCACCGCCACCCCCGTCTCCACCGCCACCTTCCCCACCAGGACCGTCGCTCCCACCGCTCCCACCGCCTCCTCCGCTACCACCTCCGCCGCCACCTCCGCCGCCACCGCCGCCACCAGTACCTCCACTCCCGCCACCACCCCCACCGCCACCCCCACTCCCCCCGCCACCCCCACCGCCTCCTCCACCGCCCCCTCTAGCTCCACCCACTCCCTTGCCCCCCTTGCCCTTGCCAGAGCGGCGTCTGCCGCTGGGGGCAGACGCCGCGCCGACCGACTCAAAACCAGTGAGGTCGGCCGCAGCGGCAGAGGCGACAGAGGGCAGCAGGGGGGAAGGACCACACCCCTCAAAGATGGGGGTGCGAGGGTCACCCCGAGAGGCCCCTACAGCGACAATACTCTTCTCAGCCGCTAGCAGGGACTCCTCAAGGAGGTCGACAGTGAGAGTGGTGGGACAGACAGAGAGAAACTGGTCCCGAACGACACGAAGGGACTCAGGGAGACGGGTGACGAGAAAGTAGAGAGTGATGTACATGGGAGGAGGGTTCGCAGCGCGGAACTCAGCAGGAAGGGTAGCGCGGTAGCGGGTGTCACTAGCACGGAGGTGGGTAACGAGGTCAGCGACAGTGGGAAAGGAAGCGAGGTCAGGGAAGAGAAACGGTAGCATGAGGCGGCTAAGGGTAGCGGAGGAAGGGGAGGAGTAGCGTGCAACTACAGCGTCGTACAAGGCCTGAGCGGTCTTGCACTGACTAAAGTGGGCACGCTCAGAGGAAGGGAGGTGGCGACGCACAGCAAGACGTGCAGCAGCATCGCGGGTCGCCCACTTGGAGCGAACGGCAGAGTCAGCATCAGCAAGTGGGGCAGGGACAGCGCCAGAGACAAAGTCAAAGAGAGAGACCTCATCTATCGCATCACACAGTAAGTACAGCTGCAGGTCTTCAATCCAGACGGCAAAGTCAATGGCCCTCCCCTCAGCGTCAAAAGTAAGAACATTGGGGGTGGCCATGGCAGCAGCTGAAAGTCTCACCGGGCTGGGAGAGTCGGGTAGGTCAGCAGCAGAGGGACACAGCACAGGAACAGCAGCACGGCTCCTCAGGCGGCTCGGGCGGCTCGGGTGGCTCGGGCGGCTCGGGCGGCTCGGGCGGCTCGGGCGGCTCGGGTGGCTCGGGCGGCTCGGGCGGCTCGGGCGGCTCGGGCGGCTCGGGCTGCTCGGGCGGCGGCTCGGCCGCAGCTCAGCGGCGGCTCGGCGGCGGCTCGGGCGGCGGCTCAGGTGGCCCGGGCGGCGGCTCAGGCGGCGGCGGCTCGGCGGCGGCTCGGCTGCTGCTGGGTGGCTCGGCTGATGCTGGGCGGCTCGGCGGGGCCGCGTAGCAGAGGGCGGCGGTGCCGCGTAGCAGAGGGTGGCGGGGCCGCGTAGCAGAGGGCGGCGGGGCCGCGAATGAAGAGGGCGGCAGGGCCGCGTAGCAGAGGGCGGCGGGGCCGCGTAGCAGAGGGCGGCGGGGCCGCGATCGAAGGGCGGCGGGGCCGCGTAGCAGAGGGCGGCGGGGCCGCGTAGCAGAGGGCGGCGGGGCCGCGTAGCAGAGGGCGGCGGGGCCGCGTAGCAGAGGGCGGCGGGGCCGCGTAGCAGAGGGCGGCGGGGCCGCAATCGAAGGGCGGCGGGGCCGCGTATCAGAGGGCGGCGGGGCCGCGTGGCAGAGGGCGGCGGGGCCGCGTAGCAGAGGGCGGCGGGGCCGCGATCGAAGGGCGGCGGCGGGGCCGCGTAGCAGAGGGCGGCGGGGCCGCGATCGAAGGGCGGCGGGGCCGCTAGGGAAGGGCGGCGGAGCCGCTAGGGGAAGGGCGGCGCAACGGGCCGCTAGGGGCGACACGACGGGTCGCTAAAAAAAAAAACGCGCCTCGGGGCGCGGGTCGGTGGGCCCTAGAAGCAGTCCCTAGGAGGGAACCTGCTCTGATTCCATGTGAAATCAAAGAACGAGAATGAATGACTAAGGAATGGAAGTGATACAAATATGCAACCCTAATTGTGTTGTACCCCCTATGGGATACCCCACTATAGCCTACAGAAACAAGTAAGCTATATGTTCTGACATTCGTCATAACCTGAATGGACGGCCGTTGGTGGCGAGCTCGTTACGGATCTGAACGATTTTGCGGTAATCGCCGATTCCTTTCGGGCGTCACAATCCGGTTAGTTTTGCCACGAAGGGCTGTCGAAGTTCTGGCCGCACAGATGTGTCTGACATGCCCAAACTCTCTAAAGTTGCCCGACCTGAAAGTCGGCAAGCCAGCCAGAGCGCAGAAAGGAGTGCTAAGGAGGTTTTGCACAACCACAACAACTAAGTCCTTGATTATTTCGGCAATGGAGCTGTAGTGAAATCCCTTAATTCGGGAAAGCAGCCTAGGTCTCAGCCGGAGTGGGTGCCAAGTAAAGCCCGTCTGAATCGCAATCGAACGGCGGCGAAGCAGCTGGTTGAGATCAACGATGTGACACAATCATTCTAGTAACTGGGGCAGCGGAAGACAGGGGACGGGGAAAGCCAAATGCTTACGGCGTGTTGCAATTGGCAGTGCACTGCATCGGCTCGGGACGTTTGGTAGGCTCCAGGCGGGAGGTCAAACACGGGCTCTGATTCGGGAAAGCAAAGTTTCAAGAGACTGATTCAAAGAGTTATTTGCCAAGGTTATACTAGGACATAGATTTTCTTTGCGCGTTTTCTGTGAAGTTTTACGGCCTCTTGCGTTCTTCGAGCCTTCCCAAACCCGTTCCACGAGCCGAGCCGATGCAGTGCACCGCAAATTGCAACACGCCGTTAGCTGAGGGTAGTAACAAGCAAGAGCAAGCCACGCGATGCGTAGCAGACTCGAAAGTGTGGCTTGGGGAGGGTGGCGACCACGCAATTTCCACGGACAGGGCAGGTCAGGGTAGGGGTAGGTCGGGATAGAGGTGCTGGACACGCTTGTATGGTTCGTTGTGTTCGACGCCTGGTTGGGAAGAATTTTGCGATAAATGCTCTCGTAGAGGGACAGCAGCAGGCCCAGCGAAAGGGAGCAACGGAACATCACCGTTTCGAACGGAAGCTAGATGCGAAGTGTATCCCCGCAAAGTTGCTTTTTCACCGACACGCACACTGGCTGTGGGAATAGCAGTAACACCGCGCCAACACTGGACTAACAAGACAGCCTCTGTTTCCTTCATCATGGCTCCTGAATCCTGAGCCTCTGTAGTAACGCCGTGTGAAGCTTACTAACTCAGTAAGCTTTGTTACTTGGTGACGACTGTTCGCTTCTATCGGATTGAATGCGATCGCCCGTGAAGCCGACAACTGTTCAGCTACCACCATCATCGGATCGAATGCGAACGCTTGTTAGGAAAGAAATAGGAGTTTTGCGGCGGCCTCCAGATAGTTATATCTGACTTTGCAACGCCCTTAGGATGTATGAAAAACAAACGGATTTTTTATGGGTTTGTAGAGCTTGAGAACTCTGCACAGGCGGCATGGGCGTACATGGAGTCTACATACCTCGGGCACATGGACGCGAACATCGCCGATGTGAGGAAGAAGTTGTTGTTGATGACTATGGAGCCGAACCAGAAGATTATTGACTATGTCAACATGGCGAGGAGTTACAACGACGACTTAACTGCGATGGGCGAGCCGGAAACCGAGCGGGCGATGATAGGGCACATCGTCAACGGAATTCCGGAGGATTGGGCGGGTGAGCGGCCGGCGTTGATCTGCCACCCACCGGAGAGTATGACGAAGCTTATTGCCATGCTTCAGGCATTGGAGCGAGCAAGAGATCATCAGAAGCGACGGGAGAAGTTTACAAGGGGCTTTGTGGAGGAGAAGCCTGCGTTGGTGAACGCGGCAGCCGCTGAAAGGGGCGCGGGAGCTTGTTACCAGTGTGGAAAGACGGGACACAAAGCGTTTGAGTGCGCAGAGAACCCGAGGAGCAGAAACTACAAGGGGAACGGTGCGGGGTGGAGTGGAGCGCAGCAGAATGGTGCGGGAAATGGAAGGGGACCGAAAGGGAAGTTCAACGGAGCGTGTCATCATTGCAAGAAGATTGGGCATAGGGCGATTGACTGCTACTCCAACCCCAACAGCCGGAGCTATAGGGGACCGCAGCAGCAGGGATCAGCACCTCCGAAAGCAAATGCAGCAGCAACACCGACAGCAGCAAAGAATGACGAGGAAGATGCCATTCTGGGTGGCGCACATAAGGCGAATGTGGCGCGCGCATCAGGGGTGTGCATGCTAGTAAAAGAAGGTGGAGCTGCTGCGTGGTTCATGGACAGCGGTTGCACTCAGCACATGATGAATCATTGTGAGTGGCTGACTGGCATGAGGGAGTCAAGTGTGCCGTATGTGATTTTGGGGAATGAAGGGAAGCTACTTGTGAAGGGTGAGGGGGAATTGGTGCTGCAAGGGCAGTATGGGGAATTGAAGCTGGAGAATGTGCTGTATGTGGATGGATTGGCCTTGAACCTGATCAGCCAATCACAGTTGGACAGCACCGGGTGCAAGACTTTCAGTGACAAAGGGAAGATGTGGGTGTTCGACCATGCATGGAATGTGATTGCTAAGGGAATGAGGAATGATGGATTGTATGAGATGAAACTGAATGAGAAGGTCTTGGCTGCTGAGAAGGCTACCTACCAGCCACCACCGAAGGAAGGAGTGATGGCAAGGGAGGAGTTGAAGGCGAAGCTGAAAGGAGTGCTTGTCGAGGAGCTGCAGGTAGAAGCTGTTGCAATGGTGGCAGCAGCTGCAAAAGTGGATTTAGAGACCCTGCATAGGCGTTTAGGGCATGCGGGGATGGAGCGGATCAAGGAGCTTGTGAAGAAGGGCATGGCAGCCGGTGTGGAGCTGAAAGAAGGAGATGGGAGTAAGGGGAGGTGCGGCAAGTGTGTGGAAGGCAAGATCTCAAAAACCCCGCATCCCATACACCAGGTTCAAGAGCCTTACGGTGCAATGGAGATAGTGGCAGCTGATGTGTGTGGGCCACTGAGGGAAAGTTCAAGACACGGGAGCCGGTACTTCGTCACTTTCACTGACCTAGGGACTAGGCACACGTGGGTGACAGAAATCAAGGACAAGACAGAGGTGTTTTCCAGTTTTTTGGACTGGATGGCTGAAGCTGAAAGGCAGAGTGGGAAGCAGCTGAAGGTGTTAAGGACCGACAACGGTGGGGAGTTTGTGAATACGGAGTTCAACAGTTTTTTGCGTACGAAGGGAATACTAAGGCAGCTGACAATCCCATACACCCCACAGCACAACAGCATTGCGGAAAGGGTGAACAGGTCACTCTTAGATAGTGTGAGGACCATGCTAGCTGATAGCGGTCTTCCACTGAAGTATTGGGGAGATGCCTTGGCGATGGCATGCTGAGTGAAGAACAGGTTGCCTACTAAAGGCCTTGCAGCAGATGTGACACCGCATGAGGCATTCTATGGGAGGAAGCCGAACATGGGGTTTGCGAGAGTGTGGGGCTGCATGGTACAGTATAGGGAGCCAGCAGGACCGAATCACAAGCTTCTACCAAGGGGCAAGTGGGGAATCAACCTTGGGATGTGCACGGTGAGCAAAGGCTGGGTGATTAAAGACGTGGAGAAGGGGAAGACAGCAGTGACCAGGGATGCCATCTTCTATGAAGATGTCAATTCTCTCCAGTGGAAGGGGGTAAACCAGGAGATAGCAACGGGAGCAGCAGCTGCGCTTGATAAGGTGGAGAAGCTGCTTGTGGAGAAGGAGAACGAGGGGATAGGGTGTGATGAGGAGGAGACAGAAGGTGGTGCGGATAAACCTACCAAGGAACCTATATTTTCGGAGCCAGCGAAGAAAAGGGTTGTAGAGGCGGTAGCAGATGTGGAGGAAGAAGGGCGCCATGAAGGAGAGCTTGGAGAGACGTGTGCCGAGGAGGAAACTCAGAGTGTGGAGGATGTGGAGAACAGTGATGGGTCAGCAAAGGAGGATGGGAGTAGCCCATGGAAGCTGATCGATAGTGACGCTACTTGTGAAGGTGCTAAGGAGATAAATGAGCTGCTGGAGGATGGAGCCATAGTGATAGGAAAGGAACGAGGGCTTGACGAGATATACGCAGCGACAAAGGAAGTGAGTAAGCACGTGACACCGGCTGAGGAGTTGGGGCGCGGTCTGAGGGTCAAGAAGAAACCAGCTAAGTTTGTTTCACTGGTTATGACACCTTGGAAGGATGTGAGGACCCATCTGCTCTTGGCTGCAACTGCAACGGCGCTAGTGTCACAGGGGAGTTTGGAGAAGTATAGCCTGCCTAAGGAACCAGTGACTGTTGAAGAAGCCTTGGCAGGACCACAGAGGGAGCAGTGGATGGCTGCGATACAGGAGGAATTAGACACTCTAGCAGAGAGAAGCACTTGGGAGTTAGTGCCTATGCCGGAAGGAAGGGCAGCAGTGGGTGTGAAGTGGATTTTTAAGATCAAGACAGGGGATATGGGGCAGCTGGAGCGGTTTAAGGCAAGGTTAGATGCAAAAGGGTATACTCAGGTCGAGGGGGCTGACTACAACGAGACCTATGCCCCCGTGAGCAAGCTTACAACCGCAAGAGCATTCCTAAAGGTGGTAGCAGCAAGGGGTTATTTCATGGTGCAGCTGGACATCAAGAATGCATTTCTGCATGGGGTAGTGCGAGAAGAGTTGTACATGGATCAGCCAACCGGGTTTGAGGATGGCACGGACAGGAAGTGTAAGTTGTTGAAGGCGTTGTACGGGCTGAAGCAGAGTCCAAGAGAGTGGTATAAGGCGATGGATGAGAGGTTGCTGAAAGGAGGGTTCCATAAAAGTGAGTGTGACCGAGCGTTCTATTGGAGGGGAGAAGGAGAGAAGAAGGTGTACTTGTTACTCTATGTGGATGATATCCTCATAGCAGGAGCTTTCCCGACTGAGGTGGAGAGCGTGTGTGACCATCTTGCTGAGGTTTTTTAGGTGAAGCAGATTCCTAGGGCAACGCTGTTTTTGGGGATGAACCAGGAGCGGAATGTGGAAGAGAAGAAGCTCTTCTTGTACCAGAAAAAGTATTGCAACAGGGTGCAGCAGAGGTTTGGCCAGGGTTTGATCAAGGAGATCACGACACCACTCAGCGGCATGGCAGCAAATGATACCGAGCAGGAAGAGGATGTGAAGCAGTGGGGAGGAGAAAAGAAGGCGCTGCAGATGTACCAGTCGATGGTGGGATCGGTTATGTATCCGGTTGCATGCACAAAGGCCGACATGGCGTATGCGGCGAGTTATTTGGGGCAGCACGTGCAACAGGGAAGGAAATGGCGAGAGATGAAGCGAGCACTTAGTTATTTGGTGCAGCATGAGGATGAGGGACTTCTCTTTGAGGGAGGAGAGGAGACTTTGCAGCTGGTGGGGTATGCGGATGCCTCACATGCATCGGACAAGAAAACAGGGAAAGGTGCCTATGGGTATGTGTTCCTTCTTGGGGGCACTGCTATCATGTGGCAAGCGAAGAAATTGGCGGATATAGCATTGTCAACTGCTGAAGCGGAGTACATGGCACTCTTCTTTGCGTGCCAAGAGGGAGTGTGGCTGAGGAGGCTGATGAAGGAGTTCGACATCACCATTGAAGGACCTACTATGGTGAAATCGGACAGCAAGTCGGCCATTGACCTGGCTAGAAACGACAATTGGCACGGGAGGACCAAGCACATGAACGTGAAGTATCACTGGGTGCGGGAGCAGCTTGAGAAGCAGCACTTCAAGTTTGAGTTCGTTCCCACTCACGAGCAAGTGGCAGATTTCTTGACCAAGGTGGTACCTAGGTCTAACTTTGAGTATTGCAAGGAGAAGGTGGGGATGCGCAAGTCGCAGGAGCTTCAGGGGAGTGTGAAGCCGAACTAGACTCCATGAGGGCTGGAGAGGAGCAGGGGAGTGGAGGTGTGGTTCACGAACCACAGGGGAGGTTGTTGGAGTGGTTCGCGGAACCACACTAACGACGGCGCTCATAATTCGGACCGACGACTACGACGGACTGACAGTGGCGTGTTGAAAGTGCCTTGGGAACCAGAGAGGAAGCTCGACATTGCTTGAGAGCTACGGCAAGAGAAACACGAAAGGAGTGAAGAAGATTATTGACGGGTGAAAAGAGAAGTGAAGAACCAGGGAGAAATTGGTTGACGGGGGAAAATGAGTGGGTCTACCGTGGCGTGTTCAACAAGGAACCAAATGCGGACTTCAGGCGCGTTCGACGAAGGTGGAAAAGGTTGTGTGTGCGACGCGGGATAAAACGAGGCAAGGCGTAACGTGTTGAACACGTTTGGTTACCTAGCTCACTTGTGTACCTTGCTTGAACCTATATATTGAGAAAGCTTGCTTTCTGTTCTTGCAAAGGCAACTGGCTTCATTACAATTGCAGTAATACAACATTCTCGTCCAACTATGGATCATACAAATATTGGTACAACTAGGGCGGGTGGGTGGGGAGTGAAACTGCAAAGTTCTGAAATGAAGTCGTGGGTGGAGGCCGAATGGCCTCCAACTCTCGTTATGTACTCGGCCAATTGTAATTCGCCGTTGCTTTGCTTCGTTACAGGCAGCTGCGCTTTCACAATACACGTTTTTAGAAAGTGTTACACACTTTCGAAAAAAATCATATTGAGAAAGCTTGCTTTCTGTTCTTGCAAAGGCAACTGGCTTCATTACAATAGGGTCTTCTGAGACATGTGCAGCTGGAGCGTTGAAAACCTGGTGAGTGTAGTTGCGGTTGATGACATTGACGAAATGCCGGGAGGGGCGGCGTTGGTGAGTCGTGGGCTCCATGTCGATGGCGTCCGAGGTGCTGTGCGCGAAGGTTGCTCGTGCTGTTGATGTGGATGTCCTTGGTTGTTGGTGCACCAGGATAGTGGTTGAAACTGGTGGTTCCCGTACTCTACACGCCCAATGTACGGTACAACTTTTATCTTGGGATTTAGCTTCCATGTGCTCTGCTTTACCCTACACTTCCAGTCGTTTGATGTTCCGGCCGGAATAACTACAACGTGGGTGGAGGTAAGGGTTTGAAGTGGTACTCGGGTGAGTGTGGTATTCGTCATGTTGGTTGGGTAGGAACGGTCACACAATTGCCGTCTTTTACTCCCAAACGCCCATTCAGGTGACAGCATGCAAGTCGTTTCAACGTGTGCTTTTGCTTCCTTGTCGGGTGTTATCGAACAAAGTGGGATGAGAATGATGGCGAAAACCGATCCCATTGTCATTGCCCTTATTTGGAAGAACACGGAATGTGGTTTAAAAGTGTGTGAACACCAACTGGAGTCAAGTCAAGATTTTAAAACCAACTTGAGGTGCACTTGAACAGTTGCTTCCCGAGATTTCAGTGGGGCTCCAACCAGCCTTTATTGGTCACATTAAAAAGTAAATGGGGTACATCAAAAACCAAGGATGATCCAGTCATACAAGCGAGCACATTGTTCGAAATTTTTGCCCATTTTACGGTAAGGCCAACGTGTGGACCTTCGAGTCTCTTCCCCCCTGGGGGACGGCTCTCAGGCCACGCTAGGACCCTCGGTCCCCTTCCCTCCCTTGGGGGACGGCTCTCAGGCCACACGGGGACCCTCGGTCCCCTTCCCCCCCTGGGGGACGGCTCTCAGGCCACACGGGGCCCTCGGTCCCCTTGCCCCCCTGGGGGACGGCTCTCAGGCCACACGGGGACCCTCGGTCCCCATCCCCCCTTGGGGGACGGCTCTCAGGCCACACAGGGACCCTCGGTCCCCTTCCCCCCCTAGGGGACGGCTCTCAGGCCACACGGGGACCCTCGGTCCCCTTCCCCCCCTGGGGGACGGCTCTCAGGCCACACGGGGACCCTCGGTCCTCTTCCCCCCTTGGGGGACGGCTCTCAGGCCACACGGGGACCCTCGGTCTCCTTCCCCCCCTGGGGGACGGCTCTCAGGCCACACGGGGACCCTCGGTCCCCTTCCTCCCCTGGGGGACGGCTCTCAGGCCACACGAAGACCCTCGGTCCCTTCTTTTTATTGGGAGAAGTCCTTGGGTGCGCGTTGAGTTGATCCTGTCGTAAATGTAGTTCTCCCGCGCGACCAGTAGAGTCTTTAAAAGTGTTTTTCCGCACCCGTGGTGTTGAGCCTATTTTTCTGCCACCAAGTAACAATAGGAGCATAGAGATTAATGGAAAATAATCGAAGAGATCATAACAGAAGAAAAACTTTAACTTAAAAGACTTGCAGCACGTAGGCAACAAATGACGCCTAGTCGAACGACTTTAGGCGCTGCAGTAGCAATTTCGTAACTGCCGCTCCAGCGGCCATTTCGTCCCTCGAGCGCTGGTGGCGATTTTGCCACTGGCGCATGTGGTAATGTCGCCACATGCGCGCATGTGGCGATTTCGTCCCTAGCGCGCGGCAATTGCGCTAGTGGCGATTTCGTCCCTGGCGCGCGCCACTGGCGCCAGTGTCGATTTCGTTCCTGGTGCGCGCCATTGGCGCCAGTGGCGATTTCGTCCCAATCGTGCGCCACTGGCGCCATTGGCAATTTTGTCCCTAGCGCGCGCCACTGGCGATTTCGTCTTTGGCGCGCCTGTTGGCGTTTTGTCCGACGCACTTCGATCTCAGTTGAGCGCCCGCTAGTTACAGTCGCACTCGTGATAGTTTGCCCTTCATGGAAAATCAAGCGCCTGGGTTGAACGTGCAAGTGAGTATTAGCTTAGAAGGTAGTTTCTAGCGACAAGGAAACGGTCGAGGTGGTTGGACGAGAATTGGAGTGAAACTGCAAAGTTCTGAAATGAAGTCGTGGGTGGAGGCCGAATGGCCTCCAACTCTCGTTATGTACTCGGCGAATTGTAATTCGCCGTTGCTTTGCTTCGTTATAGGCAGCTGCGCTTTCACAATATGAATTTTTTCGAAAGTGTGTAACACTTTCTAAAAATGTGTATTGTGAAAGCGCAGCTGCCTGTAACGAAGCAAAGCAACGGCGAATTACAATTCGCCGAGTACATAACGAGAGTTGGAGGCCATTCGGCCTCCACCCACGACTTCATTTCAGAACTTTGCAGTTTCACTCCCCACCCACCCGCCCTAGTTGTACCAATATTGTATGATCCATAGTTGGACGAGAATGTTGTATTACTGCAATTGTAATGAAGCCAGTTGCCTTTGCAAGAACAGAAAGCAAGCTTTCACAATACACATTTTTAGAAAGTGTTACACACTTTCGAAAAAATTCATATTTGTTGTACCAGTTTGTTGGAGTACACTTATGGAAATTCTCTCGCTTCAAATTGTGCTGCACACTGATTGGTCGAAATTTGTGACACATCGTAAGACTCCCGTCAGATTCGCGTCAAACCTACGGAGAGGCCTTTGTGAAGGCTTAGGCAAGCAACAGTGATAGAAAATTCAGCCGCGAGACTCCCGTCAAAGCCCCGCGAAGGGCCGAATCTGTTTCACTCGAGTGTAGGGCCCGTGAATGCCCCGTGAAAGCCACGCGAAGCTGATTTCGAAATCAGGACGCGTCAGGATCGCGTGAAGGGCCCGTTGAGGCCCCGTCAAGGCCGCGTCAGCCTCCCGTGAGGCGTTTCGCGACTAACAGGATACGCACCCGGGCCGTCACACCACCACATCCTTCTGGCGAAGAACCACCAGCTCGCGGCACGCCAGAAGCGCGACATCGATGTCCGACATCATGAGCCGTATCGAGGAGGCTGCAGAGGTCGAAAGCGGCTGCGGTCCCGTGAAATCCACTATCCCCACGCCTGATCGTCAGCTGCCTAGGCTGCAGCGGTGTTTACCCGCTCGAGAAGACCATTTCAAAGGCTTCTACTGGCGGCGACTGCAAGTCTTGGATCATAGTAGGGGCAATCATCAGACAATCTGTCGGCGGTTTTCTTACCCAGACAATCTCGCGGCCCTTACTACTAATGTGCATCATCCGATGAGTCATGATACCGGAGACGACGTTTTCTCGACGAAAGATGAGTTTCCGGAGAAGTCGATGTTTGAGAAACTCGCGGATTATGGGCCGACAACCAATGGTTTCGAGAACCGGCCTGTTTCCTCGGGTGGTACTCGCCGCCGTCGAAGCTGGTTATTTTTACCTGCGCGAGGGGGGAGGGTGTGTTCATCGTCCCCTTCCGCCTTGCCCCCTTCTTACCCATCGAAGTTTTGCTCTCGTCATCACACGCGACAGTCTGAACCAAGTCAGGCTCTCAGCAGCAGCCCAGCGTTCAGCAGCAGCCCGTGCAGCTCCTGGAGCAGCAGCAGCAAGAGCTCCCCATCCGTCTCACCGCAGAACAGCTTCATACTTGCTGATAACGTGACGCCGCGGAAGCTTGACCTGTGTAATCCCAGCCGTCCGTCATCTCCATTCTGCAAGACGCCCCCGCGCCCTCCATCCACGGTTCCTCCAAACCCGGATAATATTGGCATTGGAGGGAGCTCGTCTGATGTCAGTCTTAACGGAGTGGACGCTTCGCTACTGCACTTGCTTCTGGCCAGCTTCCTTGGATGCATTGCTATTTTCCCGCCGAAGCACGTCATGGTGCTAGCAGTCATGTCGAGAATCTTCGTTGGAGCGAGCTTCATCGTAGTGAGCTTGACTTCTTTAATGTTTCTCCTCTTCAAGGGGCATGCAACAGCTGGTGTTGGCAACATGGCCGAGAAAAAAAATCACAACTTTCCTGAACAGCACCAAGGCTACTGAAGTACAAGAGATTCAAGCTTCTTCCAAAAATGAAGTGGATGCTATGGGACTTGGGATGCTGGAATGTTGCGGAGGTCTGGATGTGTTTGCGTTGCCTGTTCTCCTGGCGGTGTTTGGAATTTCCGTAATGGCCAACAGCGACCCAAGTCGAGTGGCCGTGATTCTCCTTCTGGTAGGGCTGTCCGTGAAAGGTGGGGTGCTATTCTTGAATGCTGTAGCAGCTTTTAGCACAAGGAAGATAGGCACCAAGCCAGCCTGGTGGCTGTGGGTAGCAAAGGTCTTGAAAGCTAAAGAAGAGTGGGATAAGCTGAAGATACAGGATTGATTTATGTGAATATGTTCCTCTGTATAGTAAGCTAGCTGCGTGCTGGACTTCAGTACTGTACCGGAAGTGCCACTATAAGAAGTGTTTTAGGCTGGGAGTGAGTGGGGAGCTAATAGTTACATGTGTAGCAGTTTGCACCATCTTGGTGGCTGTGATATCCAGGAAGCCAGGACGGAGCGCACTTGTTGAGCAAGCCCACATTGTTGGGATGGAACCATTTCACAACGATGTCACCTTTGCCTACAACTCTGTTTACATATTGTGCTGTATGTGTGATTGCTTCGTGGTGTAGCGTGGGGGAATATCGTTAACGTAGGCCTCTGCGGAAGGGAATCTTTCCGCAGGGCGGGCACTGTGAGTGCGTCACCACACATACATCCCTTCTTCGTTGACACTTCCCCCCTGAACAGTTTCACCCTCTGATGACGTTTGTTTGGGGGATACTGTACGTGTAGTGTATCAGATTGGAAGGACTCGGGTTTTCGTTCCCTATTTGCTGAAAAGGGTTGTTCTTGTCGCGTAAGCATGCTCAACCAATCTCGTTTGGGTATGACAGTCGCACAGCACACCCAAGTTCAATCGCCAGAAACTGCCGTGCTTAGTTGGGATTGGCGGGCGAACGTGCTAACCTGAAGATAAGCAGGTGCCCGGATAGTTCGGGAATGTAGCCGTGACGAAATCCCTGAACTGGGGGGAAAGTCGGGGAAGGAGGCTCGCTCCTATCGCACGAGGGAGTCACGTCATCATTCTCGAGGGTGGTGCCAAGTAAAGTCGTCCGAATCGCATTCGAACGGCGGTGAAGCAGCTGGCAGGGATCGACGATGTGGAGCGATCTTTTAGTGAAGGGGGCAGCGGAAGACGGAAAGGGGGACGGGGAAAACCAGGCGCGCAGCTGGACGTCGAGCAAATCACAGGCTGGCTGGCGTTGTTGCCGAGCTGGCGTAAACCTGGGGGAAAGGTAAGGCGAGTCAGGCGCGCAAACATCGTGGCTGGCTCGAAAGTGTGGCTCGGGGAGGGAGGCGACCACGCAATTTCCACTGACAGGACAGGTCAGAAGGGGGGCAAGGCATGGCCGCATGGCACGCTGGTTTGGTTCGGTGGGTTCGGCGCTTGGTTGGGAAGAGTTTTGGAATATAGGTTCACGCAGAGGGACGGAAGAACTAGCTAAAGCAAACAATAGAACGCCACCCTCCAAACGGAGCGCTAGCTGTGAAGTGAAGCGTTCTTATCTCAGCAGATTTTGCACTGACAAGCACACCGACTGTGGCAACAGCAGTAGGCCGCTGGGCCAACACTAGACTACCAAGTCGGCCACTGTTTCCATAGTTCCCGGATATCTAGCTCCGGTGCATCGATATCTCTCAGCTTGCGGATTACGAACGCTTGTTATTGCAAAGAATAGACAGTTTCGCGGCGGTCTCCAATCCTTCATTCTAGACTTGCAACGTTCTCCCGTTGTATGAGAAAGAGAAGTCGAGTCCAACGAGGCCAATGGAGACGCACGCCACATCCTTCTGGCGAAGAATCAGCTCGCGCCACGCCAGAAGTGCGACGAAGATGCCCGACGCGACGCGTGTCGAGGAGACTGCAGAGATCGAAAGAAATTCCGTGAAATTCACTATTTCCACGCCTGAGCGTCAGCTGCCTAGGCTGCAGCCGTGCTCACCCGCTCAAGAAGACCATCCCAAAGGCTTCCACTGGCGGCGACTCCATTTCTTGCATCATAGCGGCAGCCTGCATCGGAGGCTT